AAATTTTGTGGGTATATTTTTTTTATTATAATTACTTTTTCAAAACAAATATATGTATTGTTCTTATCTGGATATTAATAATAAAAGTTAAATTATAGTCTTATACTAAGCTGTTACAAAATGTCATTTGTTACCATAAAATATATTTCAGCATAACAGAAAAACTGTAGAAACTTCCTTTTCCAGTGATTGATTGAAAAAAAAAAAAAAACTTTTGTTAAACCTTCCCCTGGGTCCAGTAAGTATGCATACTGTTATATTCCATGCTAATAGGAATATATACTTGAGAAACAAGGTGGATAAAATAAGTAAAAGTTTATTTATTGTAAAAAACCCAGTCCAATAAGAATAAAGGTAACATTTATGCACAAGGTCATTGCAAGTCAATCTAGTAGTGAGTGCTACTATTGGAAGGTCAGTAGTTTTCACATAAGCCTGAGTCATACTCAACAGATCCCAGCTAGTATATTTAGCTACCCACACCACGAGGGTTGCATGTGGCACAAGGCTGGTTTGATGTGGGTTCTCTCAGCCAAAAATATTCCCTTTCAAACCCATATAAACGGGTTCGGGGGCAGTCTACCTCCCTGAACAAGTCTCTGCCCTTTGGCGGAGCCTCACCCGGGTTCCTTTCTGCCCGAAGACAGAGAGGTTGACTGTCTAGCTGGAACAGATCCCACCTAGAATATTTAGCTACCCCCCACATGAGGATTGCATGTGGCACAAGACCGGTTTAGCGTGGGTTCTCAGAGCCTGTAGGCTCGACCAAAAATATTCCCTTTTGAACCCGTATAAACAGGTTCAGGGGCAGTCTATGTCCCCGAATAAGACTCTGCCCTTCGGCAGAGCCTCGTCCGGGTTCCCCTCTGTTTGAAGGCAGAGAGTTCGACTGTCTAGCTAGAACAGGTCCCAGCTAGTCTCTGTAGTCTGTTGACTTACACATAATTATAGGGAGTTACTACCTATAGTGTAGTCACTCATGGGGGTGACAGGTTTTTCCATTACATCTCATACCAAATTTGAGGGTTACACATTAAAGGATTTAACTGAATATAAAAAAAAAACAAATAAAAATTCAGTTATAGTTGACTTTGCTTCACCAGACCGCTTCAAGATGAAATATTTTATAATTCTGTATATATTGTTTTAATTTATTCATATCTACAATTATTTATCTAGCTTGAAAATCATTTTTCTTTAATTATCTCTAACTCTCTCCCATTTTATTTCTTTCTACTCCCTCTTTTTCTCCTTCTCTGTGAGTTCTCTTATTGTACTTGGCAATATTTGTACATCCTTCTAAATTATTTCTTTTTATTTCACTTGCAGCATTCATTCTTCCCCTCTCTCCTTCTCTTTATATCATTTTCTTTTTCTACTTCCCTTGTTTGCTCTTTCTCTCTCTCAAGCAATTACACTTACACATTTACAATCAGAAATAAACGAATATATTCTAATTTAACTTTGTTATGCTTTGTTGATTTTTTCTTATCTTTGTCCATCCGACCACAAAACATTTGGTTGCTTATTTGCTTCTCTTGTTCTTTCCAGACTCATTAGTAACAATTTACTTTGGACTGCACTCTCATCCCTCTGATCCCCCACCAACACACATATGCGTACTGAGTACTTACCTACATAGATCTACCTTTCCGCACATTTACAAAGACTGAAATATACATTCTTAGATTCTTAATGATATTCACATCTCAGTGCTTTGCCATGAATACTTACATTACTCCCCTCATCCCTTTGCCTACCCACATAAACACACACTGAGCACTTACCTGCAGATATATCTGCCCTTTCCCATATTTACATAGACTAACATGAGAAATAACCAGAAGACAAAACTCATGAAAAGCTACAAAGGAGAGAAAATTGTGGAGAGCCATGATTGCCAGCATTCTGAAGGAACATGGCACATAGAAGAAGAAGAAGAGATATACATTCTTAGATTCTTAATGATATTCACATCTCAGTGCTTTACCATGAACTGTAACCTTAACTAGGGAATAAAAAAGAGCATCTTTTTCTGTAATGAAATCTTAAAAGATTTATTCCCTTCTGCTCAAAATCACTTTAAAAATTTCCTTGTATTTTTAAAAACTGAAGGTTAATACAGAATCTATTTTGAATTTCTAAATTTTATGTTGATGGAAATTTGCTACTTATAAATATTTTTTGTGCTATGAAACATTCAATTGAACAAATGAATATTATCAGTGTAAAATTAAAATATTATTTCTATATATTATATCTATATTTTGGAAGAGATTATTTATCTGTTCAATATATATGAACAAATATGTTCATGTAGAGCCATCAAATTTGGTATGAATCCTTTTTTTTTTTAATCTAAAGGAAGGTTTTATTATTAAAAATAAAATGAAATTGTTCTCCAAGACAAAGATGGGTGGTTTCTACAACTTATCTCTTTGGTACAATTATATTTCTGAGAAACAGATAGCATTCTAAGGTTAAGTGTAAAGTTATAATTTCTCAGTGTCCAGACAAGAAAAATATTTGCATTTAAAAAAGCAGTTCTTTTTATAGAAGGTTATTTTTTCTAAAAACATCTTTTCTACTTCTCATTGTATTTCTTAATTTGAAACTTAGCAAAACCAAATGAAATCTATTTAGTTTTTCTTTTATGATACTAATTGCTCATGAGTGGCGTCACTGAAAATGAAATTTGACTTGTGTAAATAATGAAAAGACTAGTATTTTTTGACAATAGAAATTGTAAATGTGATGTTGCAAACAATGTTTTTAGTCATAATTTTGGTACATTTTTATAAATAACTTTTTAACCATGCAACTGTTATGATCCGGTTCCTTGTACCACGGTGATAGTCCGAGGTAGAACCAATAAAGAAGAACTCGAATATGGATATGGAATAACACATATATTACAAACAGGAATATATACAGAGAAGTAGAAAGTGTTAGTACGAACAATCAGATTTAGTAGTAATTGTCTGAACGCAACTCTGTTTTGGACTGCCTCTGGCTCAACTCTTGACTTGACTGACTCGCTCACTCTGACTGGCTGACAGACTCCTGACGGACTTCACTCCAGACTTCAGACTGAACTCTCTGTTTCCTCTTGAGGCGCAGTATTTATTACATATGGAATAGTCCATTATGTTATTATGGGTAAGGTCCCATAACAGAAACAAAAAACCTTCAATACTTACTTTGAAGAGAATAAATGAACTGTAAGACAAGTTCTTGTCAAATTTAAAATATATAGATTGCATAATTTATTTATACAATAAAATTTTGAAAGGGACAATTTTTTTATGTTCATTAAAAGTTTTACCAAATGATGGATTTACAACTAGGTCCAGTTGATATGCAGGTGGTATGATAAATATTGGCTCGGAAGGAGAAATTGGAAAGCTGAGTTTGAATTCCAATTTGATTCATAATATTTATTACTAGGACCATGCCAAAAGTGAAATACACCTCTTGTCCACTATGTTGGTCAATAAAATAAGTTTAACATTTTTGAGAAGCCACTATATTTAATGACTTGCTTTTCTTACATTCACTGCATACTGTATATACTCAAGTGGAGTGTGAGGTTTTGTGATCAGTTTTTATGCAAAAAATAGGTCACACTTTACATGGGTAATTTTTTTTGAAGAGGTTAAAAATCATGCATTTTCAGTAACCAGTTGCACAATATACATAATTTTTTTTGTGGAGGGGTTAAAATTTATGACAAAAAATTCAGGGGTCACACTATACATGAAGTCAGCTAATACACACGTAAAAGCAGTACATTTTTAACAATTTACTTTTATTAAAAAAATTATCAAAATTTTGTAATTGTTAGAGGAGTCATGTACAGTTTTTCTAATAAATATGAATTTCACTGTGCTACAAGCAAGAATTGTATAGTCTAGCAAAGAAATTATTGAAATGTATTACAATTACAATATTTATATTTTAACTAATTATAAAAAAGATCCTTTTTCTTTTTATATAGACATTTCTTATTTACATAATTTACATTTCAATTATTATCCTCATCTTATTTATTGTTATTACAATGTTTTGTTCATTGTGCTCCCCAGCCTTCAAGGATTAGGAGTAGGACTAAAGAATCATTGTAATTATTTGCAATTCAAGTCTTGACCTCTTACCCAGCATAGATGAATATATCAGTTGGCCATCATCATCATCATCATCATCATCTATGTGCCATATCTCTTCAGAATGTGGTTGCTCATCACTCTCAACAACTTCCTATCCTTTGTAACTCTTTTTAGTAAGATTTGCCTTCTCACCATTCCTCTCCCACCCATTTACACAAGCTCATTAGGTAGGTTTCTTGCAATTTTCCTCTATTCAGTATGTTCTGTGAGTATTAAACTTTCCAAACCCTCTTTTCTCATTATGTGTCCTAGAAATTTCAACTATCACTTTCTGATTCTAATATAAGTGTACTTTTTGTTTCCATTTTCCTTAAATTTTTCTCATTACTCACATGTTCAGTAAGTGGTATTCTCAGCATCCTTCTGTAGAACCACATTTCTATTGCCTCAAGTCTCCATCTGTGAGGAGATTGTCCAGCACTCGCAGTCATATAGGAGGACTGATATTATATAACACTTCAGCACTCTTTGCTTTGTTTCTAACATAATTTTCTTCGTTTTTAATACTTTGCTTAACTTTTAGATGGCATCTCCTGTTATTCCAATCTGAATTCAGATTTCAGTATCACATCTTCCATTCTCTGTTAAAACACTTCCGAGATCAGCTAGAACATATGCACACACACACACACACACACACACACACACACACACACACACACAATAACTTGTATAGACTTTTATATAACATGTATTAAGGCTTTTGTGTTGATGCATAATGTCAGGAACTGGTCAGAACATTGGATGAAAGATCATGAGATTTACAATTTGATTAATTCCTGGGCAGTAGAGGTTGTGGGTCGGAAATGTTGTTCATTAATTTTGATTAATGACTTTCCCATGTCTTGGAAGTTGGTATGTTGCTTGAAGGAAGAAGATCTGTCAAGAGGGAGATAGAAATTGATAGATATAGACTGACTGAGACAGACAAATGAATCTAGACAGTTAGATGAATAATACAGGTTGTTAGTGATTATTATGGAGGGGTCAAACATCAGGCAAAGGTATGGATTCATTCATAGCATGTAAGTACTTTTCATTTTATTTACTTGCTAGAAAGGCAAAATAATAAAATGCTTCTTTCTCTTTCTCTAATAAATCATTGACAAAGAGATAGATAGATAGATAGATAGAAGTGGGAGAAAAAAGAAGTACAAAGAAAAAGAAAGAATTATATACATAGAGAATTGATTTTAATGCAAAGGGAGCTTTCTTTCTTCATTTAATATCATTTGTACAAGGAGGTGCTGAAAATTTCTCAGCCTGATCTGACCTAAAGACCCCATCTCAGATTTAATTTTTTTTTCCTTTCCTTAGTCTGGCCTGTAACTTTTCAACACCCCGGCATATTCTTTAAGTTTTTTACCAGTAGCAACTGGTGACTTACACTGGAGATCAAGTGACAGCAAGTCTCCTAACTACTACAACACTATCATTGATATTCTGCTTGATTTTAATAATACTGTTTTCTGGGTCATTTCAGTTATAACTTGGATTACCAATTCTATTAACCCTTCCCCTAGAATCTTCCAAATAAGCCATTGGGTACATTTGTCACATTTTAGTTCAACAATATTTTCCTTTTTTCTTCCAAGGTGTACATCTTTTCCTAGCATTTTATTTTCTTGTAATTTTATTCTGTCGTCTGCAATATCCTCACTCTAACACATTGTTAGCCTTATTCACCAGCATTGGGTGAATAATTTGAATTTCAGTTTATGATTTTTTTTTTCTTTCTTTAAGACTACATTTCTTTGCTTGGCAAAATTGCAGTTATTTACTCAATGAGCTTCATTTGGTCTCTTGACCAGACAAATTTAAATGCAGTACTTGATTGACAGCTATGTCTCTTAATTTCAACATTGGAATTGCTTGCTGTTACCATAAGTTCTATACTAACAGTTTCTTCTCATGTAGTTATCGCTTGTGAACTTTCTTCTTGCTTGCTTTCCTGTTAACTGTGATCTTGAAAAATTTACATGCAATGTCAATCACCATCTTCTGTTACCTTCAATTCTGTTCTTTTATTGTCTTCTCTTTTTCTTTTTTTTTCTTTTCACTCTCAGTAATCCCTTGCATCTTAGTGGCTTGGTGTTGAAAGGATTTAAAAAAAAATTAAAAATAAATAAATCATCTTTCCTACCCAGGCATTATTTTTTTACTCTTTTTCAGTCATTTTTTGTCATTCAATATTTGTATTGAATTGTAAATCTGTGCATTCAATATTTAATATTCTGCTTTGTCCTGCCTTTCTTTGATTTAATAATATTTATTATTATATTCAATTTTGGGGGAGCTGCCATTATTATTATAATAAACCAGTTAAAGTAAGGAAAATATATTTTCATACATACATTTATGTCTGAATAAATATAACCTTGGTTTATTTGGAAAATTAACATTTTAAAGTATTTAGTAGTGGTTATATATAAGTTTAATGCTAAACTTTGTTCCTTACTTTGCATACATTTTCTGAAAATAGAATTTTTTTAGTCTATAATTTCCATAATTAAGTACATAATTAAATAAGTACATAAGCCTAAAACTATCCAAAAAATATACAATTGCCTAATTTTCTCTGCAACTAGGCATTATCAACTTGATGGAATAAAAAAAAGAATTGGTCACATAATCTTGGACACAAAATCAAGACTTTTTTTAAATTATCATTAAATCAGCACCCCCCCCTCCACACATACACACCGATTTAAAGCATGTTTGTTTGTTTTTACATTAAAACATATTCACTAAAAAATATAGTCCCAAAGGGGCTGTGGGATAGTCATTTTCATAAAGAGTAGAACAAGCCAGAAAATAGTTATTTTAGATTGTAAGAGTATTTTTTGTGAAGATGACAATGGTTTAGTGATACAAGTCTTACTAATTAACTCATAGTTAAGAGGTAGATTCATACTTTTTCCCAAAAATACTTGCTCAGAATTGAATATACAAACCCATATGGAAATTGGAATTTGGCTCTCTGATTAACAATTCTGAGCCATTATCCATTACACCACATCTAAGCTTACAAGCACCTGGTATTCCCAAGCAGTCACCCATCTAGGTACTGATCAGGCTTGATGTTGCTTAACTTCAGTGATCATGCATGGACTGGTCTTTCATTGTGATGTGGCCATAAACCTTAACTACATTGGACATAGAAACTCTTTTAAAAGAAATAATTTTAGTTTAACTGAATCTTTATTATTTGAGTTTTCACACCATTAATAATTGTTGGCTTTCACTGGAGATCAACTGACAGCAAGTTACATCAATACATCAGTACTTTTTAACCGATTTTAAAAATGCTGTTGTCTCAATTTTTATCTTTCTTGGATTTTCAATTATGCAATTAATTTTTTTTTTTAAAGAGGGAGAGACAGACATGAATACATAAACACACTAACACAAAGTATGAATTGATTTTATAAAAAAGAAAAGGATTTCTTTAAAATTGTTCTTTTATTTATTTATTTTGGAAATAAGAAGAGAAAATCAAAAAAAGAAGGGTGTGAAGACTGCTTTAAAAGTGTGCCAGTATAATTAGAGTGTATTCACACAAGTGAATTTGAATTGTGTTTGATGAAATATTCAATGCTTCAGGTTCCAATAATTTTGTTTTGTTTTACAAATGCATCAACTTATTTTTGTCTTTCAGATTCTTAGATTCTCACTTACTGAAAAAAATATCCCTTCACTGCTGAACAGCGGATAACTAAGCTAGTCTTGCAGACCATTACTATTATAATAAGTTCATTTCTCTACATTTACAGCCTTGTGTCATACTAATATATGTTCAGTAAATAACATAGGTAACTCACTATAGAGTATAACTCAGTGGCGGTAGGAATTACTTGAATACTTTGGTGACATCTCATAATTTTCATCAAATATTGGTCAGATTACAGTTGGACAAAGTGAATCATTAAGTCTGTAACCCAACAATGAAAAATGATATAAAACAAATATTTATTTTTCAATCTACTTCCTTGAATGGTGAATATGAATCACATAGATTAAATATTATACAGTGAAAATTTCAGATCAAAATTCAACAAATTATTACATGAGATCATGCTTCCCAACCACTATAATCTTTACATCTTCAAGTTCTGTATCAACTGTTATCTATTGTACACATTCTCATAATCTACTATTCTTACACTTTCCTCTTAAACTGTAAAACAACCTCATTTAGTAAACTTCTACCTTGAGTGGCTCTTGGGCCTTGTATTTGGTGAACAACAATATAAAAATATTAGGCTACAGACTTTGTGATCTACCTTTGGATATAAAAATCTTTTTCAGTCTTTGTTTTTTATACATCTTTGTTCTGAGCCACATATGATTGCAACCCCACAACTATACCAGTAAGTAGTCAAAAAAATAAGAATTGTGCTCTTATTTGACTTGACACTCTTTGACCATCATTTTAATATCCAAAGTGGGTAAATAAATTCTACATAATTGGTTTGGCCTGTTAATTATTGACTTTGTTATGACTTAAACTACACCCAACAATTTTTTGACGTGTACAGTTTCTAAATAAATGTCTAAATATTTTGTTTTAACATTTTATATGTGACTTTTTGTTCTTTTATTTGCAAATGTTATAATGTAGAGAAGGATGTAATGAACTGTTTTCAACATGAACTGGATATCACTATTTCTTATTAATGTATTTGTATCCAGTTGATTTCCTTATTTTAATGATCTTTCCCTTCATGGTATAGGTGCTCATGGCTCTCCACAGAATTGCAGTAACTTCTCTATGGTTTTGAATTCAAAGTTTTCTTTCATTTTGACTGCCATCTGAAGCAAGAGAATCAAGTCTAAACTGCTATTTAGCATATAGTTGAAGGTAGAAGATATTGATCTAAAGTGCATTAGTGCAAACATAAATATAGCAGACTAAACTAGAATTTGAACTTGGCATGCCAATTTTACTTTTTATATCGATAATCATTACACTATGCACATATCCAATTGACAACTGCAACAATAAATTTCTGCCTATTTGAACCATAATATCAGCTTTCAATTCTGTGACTTTGTTTTGACTACCAAAATTAACATTACTTATCTGTTGATTTTATATATATATATATATATATATATATATATATATACACACACACACCATATATACTCATGTATTGTGCTACTTTTGAAAACATAATTTTGAAGCTAATTTTATGGGGGTTGCATCATACACGAGATATAAAATTAGCATATGTACTGCTAGCCCTGGCTATGCCATTGACTAAACTATATATCCTTTTGTTGTAATCAAATTAGCTTCAAAATTAGGTCTTTAGAGGTCACATGATACAGGAGTATATGAACCTTTTTTTTGTTTTGTTTTTTGACCCTCAGTTACTGAAGGCTTGAAGGATTTGTGTCTGCAAGAATACCATCTCCTTCATACTGTTTTCAAATCAAACCATTCTCATTTACTGTCCATTCTTAGATTTCTGGTAGTAATTTCTTACATTTAATAGCTAGGCTTGGATGAATTGACATAAGATTACAAAGATGAGATTTCTGAAATTGAGGCAATTAAAGTTTGATATTTTAATGACTGAATTTGAGAAGGTAAAGAGAATTTAGGGTTATTTATGAAACGGAACAGCCATGCTGGCAGTTATTGGGAAGTAAATTGGACAAGTCTGTTATAGTTGAAGAACAATGACACTAGTGCTTGTGTCTTAGAATCTTTTGTGAGTTTCTTGTCACTCATACTATTGTGTTCTAAAATGGAGTGAAATAATAGACTTTCATACCAACAAGAATTTTCTATTTCCTATGATATTGATTTCATATGGTACATAAAATAAAAGTCTGTTTTAAAGTTTCTTTAGTTTGAGCCAAAGGAGGAGAGAGAAGAAACATGGAAAAAAGAAAGGAAGAGTGATATCGAATAGAGAAGAGTATATATGAAAATTGAGAAAGAAGAAGTGAGAAAAAAAGGGAAAGTGGTTTAAGAGAGGAGTTAGAAATGGGTGGAAAAAGGAAAAGAAATCAGAGTAAGAAAAGAAAAGAGAAGAGAAAAAGAAGAAAATAGAGAAACCAAACCATGAGAAAAAATATTTGAAAATAGAAATGACAGAAAGATACACAAAGAATTATAAAAGAAGAGATAAAAAAATAAAGAAAATGGATGTTTTATAATGCAAAAGAAAAAATACTAAGAAAAGACTATGTTATTGATATCTACTGAGATTAACTTAAAATAAAGCCCCTGGTGTGGAACATCCAATGGCGATTGAACTCATTGTAGAAGTAATAGTTTGCAAGATTAATTAGCTAACCATTACTTTGTTGGGATGCTTCTTTAGTTATTTATTCAGCTAAATTTAGTTTAGCCACAAGTATAGGATGCTCAGTACAATTATAATGGTCTGAAAGATTAGTTTACTAACTGTTGCCCTATGGTGAGGTATAAAGACAGTGAATTATATTTCTTGTAATTTTCATCCTGAAATCACTTTTTAAGTTGTTATGGCAGTTAATACTGGACAATATCTTTACAGATGAAAAAGCGACTTGAGTCAACAGAAATGTGGTTTTACAGAACAATGCTGAAATATCATGGACTGAACATGTGATCAATGACAAAGTTTTAGGGAAAAAGGTCACAAAAAGGACATTTACACTTAGAATCAGAAGGAGGCCTTAAGAAATTTGACACTCACAGGACATATTGAAGGTAACTTGCTAGGTAGATTATGCATTGTTTTCCTCTGTTCCTCTTGCCTTCAATCTGACCTGTGAGTTTAAAATTTTCCAAGCCCTCTTTCCTCATTATGTGCCCTAGAAATTTCAACTGTCTCTTCCTGATGTTAAGCATAAGTGTCTTTTTTGTTTCCATTTTCTCTAAAACTTTGCTGTTGCTCACATGTTCAGTCAATGGTATTCTCGGGATCCTTCTGTAGAACCCATTTCTGTTGCTTCAAGACTTTTATTAATCTGTGAGGAGATTGTCCAGCATTCACTGCTCTATCATAGAACTGATATTACATACTGACTCAGTACTCTTTTCTTAGTTTCTAATGAAATTTTTCTGTTTCTAATACTTTGCTTAACTTTTGGAAGGCAACTTTTGCCATCCCAATGCACCTTTAGATTTTAGTGTTGTATTTTCCGTCCTCTGTTAAAACCCTTCCCAGATATTTAAATTGTTGTACTTATTTGATTTTGGTATCTCCAACAGTTTTGAATATCATCTTTTAAATCCTGTTCCATTTGTGTCACAGAATGTACCAAAGCTCAGAATGTTAACAAATTAAAATAACAATTGAATTAAACAGTTTAGAATATACCTTGTTTAGTGTTATATTCTTCCATAACTAGAGACATTGTAAGACTTTTGCAACAATTGGTGGCACAATAAAAATTGTTACAAGCTTGTGCTAACATATTAATAAATAAAATTGTATTTCTTACCACTTCATTTGACACACGCAGTTAAGATATGACAAAGTAATAAATCATATATAAACAATGTGAACAAAGTCATCGGTCATCTTAGTACATTGTTTCCTAAACTTCACCTTACACTGTCAATTTTTACTGTTAGAGCCACAATTTATAGAGGAATCAATTTCATTTGATATAAATCAATAAAAAATAGGGTTGCACTAATATTTACACAAGTCTTTTACATAGATTTTAGTATGGACAAAATTATGAAACTTGAAATTCTTTTAATTACCAGATAAATGATCATGATGCACATGTTGCTCACAATCTCTCAATTCTGTAAGATTTATAAGTTTTATTTTTTATGTTACATGTGTGCAGTAGCTTCTTTAAAAGAAATGCAAATTTTAATGTTGATACTAAGCATCCATATCAATCCAGGGGGAGGTTGAACTATTGAAAAACAGTGTAAGTCAGGCAAATATGTAGAGTGATCAACTGACATTTGTTAATTATATGAAAATATAAAGGAATATATTTCACTAGTAAAGGCAAGAAGAAAATAAACATGAACAGTGGTAAAAGAATACTGTGAATAATTGACTTTTCTTAAGATATGTTACAAAATAGTATATTTATACAACTAACTAATTATCTTTTTGTAAAGCCTTAAATATTTATTTATCTATTTTATTCAATAAATCAGATATTTAAAA